CCTTTACTAACTGAGCTAACTCAACTTCTAAGTTTTATTTTTTTATTTTTCACCCACATTATTTGTAAGTCAAAGTCTAATGAATATAATTGTCTTACATTGTGATGCTAAGAAAACCCTTATCATTGTTTGGGGAAGGCAAGGATAAATTTTCAATTACTTGATGATTTCTTAAAATCGTTTCAAATTATAAATATTTAAAAAATATATAAAAATAGTTGTATAAAATAAAGGAGAGAAAATGTGAAAAATCATAGTACTATAAATTTCATATTTATCGTCACTTTTTTTCTTCTCTTATTTTTCATTCTTTCATTTTCTTATCTTTTTTATACTAAAGAGTGATTGCTCGCTTTACACTATATAAGCCCATAGCCTAGCAATTTGATTAATATTGTCATGTAAAAATTAAGTAAACCATTTAGAGGAGAATAAAAAAGTTAAACTCCAAACTCATTTTTTTTAGCCATGTTAGCTAAAAAATTTACACAGAAATTGGCTTCTTATACACATGTTTAAGAGAACAAATTATTGGTAGTTGCCCTTAAGCCGAATCATATTTGGCTAAGACATTGTCATATTTATAGTATTATGATATTTAATATCCTATAAAGATTTATTTCTTTGTCATTAAGCTTGTATACATATATTTCAATGTTGATACTTATATGATAAAGTCCTTGAAATATAAATAAAGTTTTATAAGAGAGTTACAATGAGATTGTAAGTATGAAAACATCATTGCATGAAGCTATATGTTTCAAAATTATTCCTAGTTGATGCTTTATCTATAAGAGGATATTGTATACTCTTATTTATGAAGCAAGTAACCAATCTCATAAGTTAAAGTTTCAGTAAACTTGAACTAAATGTGGGTGCTTATTATAAAAACAAGTTCATTAAACATGATCATATATGAAAATACTATATGGTAGTATAGCTACATTCTCATGTGACGGTTGTATAAGTAATCCTTTGACTTACGATTACTTATAATCTTATATGAGAAATATTGTACTTTGACCTTACTTTATTTATGGTTCTAATCAATAATGTTTCTTCTATAAAAAGAATATCAAGCCCCATTATATGAAGTAAGAGTAAAAAAAAAAAGCATTAAAAGAGATATTCAAGAAAATACAAGAGGTTTTGTTATCCAATTCTTGAAATTCAAAAGGATAAAATCCTATTCTAAGCAAAAATCTTCAAGGCTAAGCAAAAAAATTTGTGTTGCATTTCAAATTCTTCTTGGCTGAATGTACTTATTCTTTATTGTGATGAAAATTGCATGAAGGCTTTGATAAAGTGTTGGTTGAATAGGATAATGTTTTGAAAAGTCCATGATCTTGTAAATTAATTTTTCCCTTTGCATGGCAGAATGGATATAGTTCTTTTTTAGATCAAACTCTTTTGACCGATCATGCTAAGGTCCATACTAGCTTGAAACTTTTCAAATATTACATGTGTAATTGATTCCCTATTGAAAGTGGTCTAGCTAAATGTAGTCCTTATGCAAACATAACTTCTTCATGGCTAAGAAAAGTAATCATGCTTGGATTAAGCTTCTCTTTGGCCAAACATGATGGAATCCAAGTGAGCTTGGATTAACATGCAATATTTCTTAGAATATAGGTGGCCGAATGCATCATGGGTGAGGCTTTGTGCAATTGAAACTCTATTGGATCAAGGTAGTTTGGCTATGAGCTCCAAGATTGGGCCAAAATTAGTCGTTGTATGCTTGTACGGAAATGATATCCATGAGCTTGAAAATTTAAAATCATGAAAACAATATGAAAAGCACAAAAAATCATCTAAAATTTAAAATTTAGTACCATTTTTAACATGTAAAAACATTATATAATTAGGTGCTATCAGTGACATAAATTGCATAAAAGATTTGTTTGAGATTTATTAGATATTACTTGATTGAAAAGAAGACTTGTAAAAGAAGAATTCAGAAAGAAAATAAATTATTGATAGGTAAGTTAGTATGTTTATAAATAGTAAAAATCTCAACAAGATTAGGTATGAGAGAAAGATGTAAAGAAAGTTATAGATTTTTATAGGATAATCACCTTATTGAATTAGAAAATATTGAAAAGGTCCATATGAGTGTGTATATTTGATTTTTGGTGTGTGAATATTCCATAAGACTAGAGGTGAACGTCTATAAGTATTGTTTGTAAGTGGATTATACAAGAATGAGAAGGTTCTCATTGATATGTGTGTGAATGTTTGAATTGGGATCATTAAAGATTGGATTAGGATCGTTAAAGATCATTTTAGGATTGTTAGAGATCAATTTAAGATTGTTATAGATCATATTGGGGACGTTAGAGATCAGTTTAAGAATGAGATTGTATGTTTATAATCTTTAAACCTAATAGACCTTTTTCCTCTTATGTGAAGATAGGCAAGTTGAGTACCGAACCATTTTAAATTGTTGTCTCTTGTGTGAATGATTTATGGTTTGATTTTTCTTTTTGCTTGCATAAATATTCAATTTGTTTGCTTGATTGGTACTTTTGACCTAACAATTGGTATCAAAGTGATGTTTGATATGTGAAAAGAAGCAAGCTCGAAGAAACTCAATTCAAGGGAGGAGTTCAAGTTTATATTTTGAAAGATTGATTTACTTAAAACAATGAAGACACATAAAAAAAATGATTGTAAGACTTCCATTATTGTTAGAGCCAAGCATGTCTATTATAAAGACTTATGATTTGATGGAATTTGAGTCAATTTAAATATTGTTAGGAATAGTAACTCAAATTTCATAAAAGATTTATTTGAGATTGGTTATATATTACTTGATAGATAATAAAACTTATAATAAAAAAATTTTAAAGGAAAAAAGATTCTTGATTGGCAAAAGCTAGTATGCTTATAAATAATGAGAGTCTAATAAGGCTAGGTATGAAAGAAAGATATAAAAGGAGTTGTAGTTTTAACAGGAAAAACATAAATTAAAATTAGAGGAGATTAAAAAGGTCTATATGAGTGTATATGTTTGATGTTTGATGCGTGAATACTTTATATGATTGGAGGAGAATATCCATGAGCATTATTTATGAGTGGTCTATAGGAGAATAAGAGAGTCCATATGAGTATTTGTGTGAATGTTTAAATTGGGATTGTTAGATACTAGATTGGGATCATTAGAGATCAATTTGAGATCGTTAAAAATTTGTTTAAGATCATTAGAGATCAGATTAAAATATTTAGAGATTAGTTTGGGATTATTAAAGATCAGTTTGAGATTGACATTATATGTTTGTAATTCTTAGACCTAGCAATTTGTGTTACCGTGTCATGTAAAATATTATATTCGTGTTGTGTTTTACACAAAAATTACATGTCACAATTCGTATTGATATAAAAATATAAAATACAATTTTTTTGTTTTCTTAAACATATCTATGGTTTTTTTAAAAATTTTAAGTCGAGTTATCTCCGTGTCCTTTATTCTTATCATTTTTATATAGTGTCACCATATCATGTTTTAAATTTTCAGGTCTATTACTCTACAACTAATAAATTTTTTCTTTTATCAATAGAAATAAGTAAATCAAGTATCAAATCATATTAAATTGTTATATTTTTATGTGGATGATTTATGATTTTATTTTGTTTCCACTTATTTAAATACTCAATTAATTTGCTTGATTGGAGGCTTTTGACCTAATGCTTGATAAGATCCAACTCGACTCAACATTATCTAACTTAATTCATAAAAATCTCTAATTATAGCCTGAGCACTATTATTGAAGACTCAATAATAAAAGTATAACTATATCTCAAAAAGTTATATTCAAATATATTTTTTTCAAAAAAAAAAAAATCAAACCACCTATATATTTCACAAATGTTAGTCCTACATAGTAATACATGGTTTAGTAATGAAATGTAAGAACTAAAAAGGAAAAAAAAAAAGATACACACTTTTTTAATCCATGAAAATTTAAATCATTAATATATTATCAACAAAACCTCATTATCCTTAAAAAGACACCTTTAATGGTTACTTGAAATTTCAATTTAGAAATCTCAAATTGGAATATTTATTATATAGCTTGAATTCATATATACAAAAAAAGCAACAAAAAACTTTTTTATTCACATTTGACTTTAGTATCAACATTTTTTTAAAAAAAATAACAATTTAGTTAATTAGGTTTCAATTGGTCGTTTCTTTTTACCATCTACATTTTACTTGTTAAAAAATAGAGTAAATACTTGAAAAAATAATTAATTTAAATGAACAAATTGCTCAGATATAGTTAAATTGTAATACAATTGTTTAGAATAGATTTAAAATTATACATTTTTTAATGTATATTTTTTATTTTAAAAATATCTTTTATTTTTATATTAAAAATATTCTTTTATTTTCAAAATTGAAAAATAAATGATATAAAATAATAATCAAACACATATAAAATTTTGCACTTTGCTTATGTTTCTTTTCATTTTTATCTCTTATATATACCAAATATGAAAGGAGGAAAATAATCATTTTTATTTCTATTTTTTGTTTCCCAATTTTTGTCCTCTTTTTTTATAGAAAAAAAGATTTATTTTTCACCTGACAAAGAAGAAAATTTCGTATGTTACTAAACATCGCCTTTTTTGCTAAGGTTGAACGATTCCGACTCGCTCACTTCACCTGAGCGAAAAAGACACGGCAAAAAAGCACGTGCCAAAAAGCACCGGTCAAAAACACAGCATTAAAAAGGCGTTTAAAAACACCCAGAAAACAAAGTCAGAAGGGACACGTCTCTTCTTCCTTGATTGCCACGTCAGGAAGACTTCTCTGAAATTCTCGCTCTTTTTTGTTGTTCTTCTCGGAGTACGCTAAAAAGAACAAACAAGCAACAGCAAAACGACATAAAAAAGACAAAACGTGGGCCCCCACATTCTAAAATGCCACGTCATTTCCCACACTTACAAACGCACCGCTTCGCTCACTGTAAAAGGCTGTTCCTCGCGCCCGTCTTTCTTCTTCCTCTCTGCGCTCCCAAGATCCAAAAAAAAAAAAAAAATCGAAATTAAAAAATAAAAAGAAAAAAAAGGAAAAATGCCATTAATGATAAAAACATTCCATTTATAGATTACGTGAGAGAAAAAAAACCTAGTATTTATATTGATTTATAAACTTTGATTCTGCTGTCCTTTTTGTTTTCAAAATTTAGAGGAATTTTCGACTTTCTCTTTGTTGACAGATAGACAGAAATGGCGACGACGACAACGGCGGCGATGGCTGTTGCTACTTCTGCGGCGCCATCAACGGGGAGTGTAGCGGTGGGAGGTGGCTATGTAAATGTGTCGCTTTACGTGGGGGATCTGGAGGAGAACGTGGTGGAAGGGCAATTGTATGATCTGTTTAACCAAGTTGGAACGGTGGTTTCCATTAAGGTTTGTAGGGATCAGAATAAGCGATCTTCTCTCGGTTACGCTTATGTCAATTACAGCAATCACCAAGAAGGTAAAAAATTTTAGAAAGAAGGAAAATTTGAACCGTTATCTCTCTCTCTGTTTTTTCTGGATGATGATCGGAGTGATTATCATGAGTTTTATATTGTTCTCAATGGGGTAGTGGAAACTTTCAAGTATTTTCTTGGTTTTTTTTTTTTTTTAATGTGTTTGGTTTCTGTTGTTGTTATTGTTATTTTTTGGTGTTGATCAGTGCAATCTTTTTTTTTTTTTTTGGGATAACTGGACTTTGAATTTTTGTGTTGCTTTTTCTTGTTAATGTGATCGTTGATAATTTATGAATAAAAAGGGAAATTCTAGTTATTAAAAAAAAAGAGAGAGATCCGAAAATATTTTTGATGATAACTCTCTGAAAGAGAGTCTATCCTGTTTAATTTTTCATGTTTTGCTGGATGTTTCATTAGAACTGTTGGTGTGTTTATGTTTAGATAATTAGATGTTGAAGGCCCTTTTCACTTTAAAGCTTTAATTCATTTCGGAACGTAATCTATGATCATAGAGATGGACGCCTTGAAGTGGGGAAGAAGTACTCTTTGTCTTTCAAAGTTATAGAGACTGCTGCCTTAGCCATTGTTCTCTGAGTGGTTTCTTTAACTAGGAATTATCAAACTTCTTATTTTAGTCTTGAGTCTTAACCACATTCACCGTATTTAAACCGCAGCTGCTCATGCCAAGGAGGTTTTGAACTTCACTCCTATCAATGGGAAACCTATCAGGATTATGTTTTCTCAACGCGATCCTAGCATTCGTAAGACTGGATATGCTAATGTTTTTATCAAGAACCTGGACCCAGCTATTGATAACAAAGCATTGTACGACACTTTTGCTGCCTTTGGGCCTGTACTTTCTTGCAAGGTGGCTACTGATAGAAATGGACAATCGAAAGGGTTTGGGTATGTGCAGTTTGAAAATGAGGAAGCTGCACAGAATGCAATCAAAAGGTTAAATGGTATGCTGATAAATGATAAACAAGTTTATGTAGGACAACATGTTCGACGCCGAGATCGGGTGCCAGCCAATGTGTCACCAAAGTTCACTAATGTCTATGTCAAAAATTTGTCTGAAACAACAAGTGATGAGGACCTTAAGAAAGCTTTTGAAAGTTATGGTACCATCACCAGTGCTGTTGTCATGATGGACCAGAATGGTAAGTCCAGATGTTTCGGTTTTGTGAACTTCCAGAGCCCAGATTCAGCTGCTGTCGCTGTTGAGAAGTTAAATGGGACCAAAACTGATAGCAAGTTGTGGTATGTGGGAAGGGCACAAAGAAAGGCAGAAAGGGAGGCAGAGTTGAAAGCCAAATTTGAACAGGAAAGAATTAGTAGATATGAAAAACTACAAGCTGCAAATTTGTATCTGAAAAATCTTGATGACAGCATGGATAGTGAAAATTTGAAGGAGTTATTTTCTGAGTTTGGAACTATTACCTCATGCAAGGTAGGGCTTTGTGATTTGGTAGTCTTTTACTTCCTTCTTAGTCATTTCATTAAGCTTTAGTTTCATATCTCTTTCTTTTTCTTCAATGTTGATTATAATATTTTTTGAATTTTTAAACTATTGTTTAAGATTATGCTTGATCCACAAGGAGTGAGCAAGGGCTCTGGTTTTGTTGCTTTTTCTACTCCTGAAGAAGCTTCAAAAGCAGTATGTTTCAGTTGTTCAATTCATAATTTATACAGATCTGCTTGTTGTTGTTGTAAGCCTCCTGCATTCATTAATTGTTGTTTCTTTTTTTCTCTTTGTCCAGTTGAATGGAATGAATGGAATGATGATTGGTAAGAAGCCTCTATATGTTGCTTTCGCGCAACGCAAAGAAGAAAGGAAAGCTCGACTACAGGTATTTATTTCATATTTTCTATTAAACAGGAACATTTGAGATTTTTTTTTTTTTTTTTTGTTTTAGGTGTGCCACTTATTTGTGGATGAAGGTACTCAAATATACTAGTAAAGCATTGTTCAGGTTAGAAGCAGTCATCTTATTGGATGATTTTCTTACTACCAAAATATTTGTCTCTTATTTCTAATTATGTTAGCACCTGTGCAGCAGTTTTAGGTTGTTCCGCAAGGGCTTATAAGTAGTTTTAAAAACTGTAAAAACTCACTATCACTCAATGTATACTCTCTGAGACTTGCAATTGCCAAAAGGTTTTTATCTTGTCAAACAAGCAGTTTATGTAGAGAATAGATAGTTGAGCTTTGTGATATAGGTTTAGCATCTTAAACAGGGTTTTCAGTTAAATCTGGATCATGGCATTGTGTCTAGCAGCATCTTTTTGGATTAGCGTGATCCCAGATTTTGTATGCTATGCCTGAAATGTGAAAAGTTCCTCCCCTCTGCTTTCATGTGTCCCCTTCTCCTTTGGCTTGCCAGAATACGGATGAGTTAGTTGAAGTTTAATTTCTTGTTATTTGCATGGTAATTTTTTATGTAACCTTCCATACTATAATCTCTCTTTTTTTTTTTTTTTTTTTATTTCCAGTCGTATTTTGCTCAACTTCGTACACATGGTGCAATGTCACCTTTGGCATCAGGGATTCCCGGATTTCACCCTGCAGCACATAGGCTTGGTCCTCAGCAGCTATATTATGGTCAAGGTGGTCCGGGTCTGATAAACCCTCAGCCTGCAGGATATAGTTTCCAGCAGCCGCTCTTACCTGGAATACGTCCTGGTGTCACCCCAAATTATATTATGCCATACAACCTTCAAAGACAAGGACAATCAGGTCAGAGGATTGGTGTTCGTCGAGGTGGAAACTCCCAACAGATGCAGCAGCAACAGGTAGCATTTTTTCCCCATTCTAGTCCTTGACTATGTTAAATAATTATTGTTACTTATCATTTACATTTTATGTAGAATAATTCTTGCGTTTCAAGAGTGTTTACATGAACTTTTAAATGTACAAATTTCTAAAGTATTCTAAATAAAACTGTTGAACTGCGTTATGGAGCTTGTTTTGAAAGTCATCCAATTTTTACACTTGAATTTTTAGTTGATATTTGATACACTTGAATTTTTAGTTTGAAGTTTGTAGTTGGTGTAACATTTTTTTCTCATAAAAGGGGTTTGTTGGCTTTTTTTTTTTTTTTTTGTTTTTCCCACTAATCCTGAATTTCATTACTCTCTCTAGTGATTGTGGTTATGCAAAGTGTACTGGAAGTAGAATGCTTCTTGTGAGAAACTTGCTACTTGAAGTTACATAATCTATATGTTATATTAACTGTCAACCTTAAATATATATATTTCTACCATTTTCAGATGGTGCACCATAATACCAATCAAGGGTTCAGATACATGGGTAATGCAAGAGATGTTGTGGACCCATCTACAGTTCCTCAAAGCATTGTAGGCCCTATCATGCCATTGCCATTGCCATTTGAGGTTTCAAGGATGCCTGTAAATCCTATTGAAGTCCAACGACCTAACACAGTGCCTATATCAACACTCATATCTGCTTTAGCTTCTGCTTCACCAAAAGAACGTAATGAGGCATGTAATATCCCTCCTATTTATGATGATTGTGAGATCTGAAAATTTTAAATTGAGTGATCTTGCAGCTTAATCGTCCGTTACATTGTGCTAATAGCCTAATATTTAATTCTTTTTATTCTTTTGTTTTACTTTTTTTTTTTATGTATCTAAAAATGCAGATGTTGGGAGAACAGCTTTATCCCCTGGTGCAGCGTTTTGAGCCTGAACATGCAAACAAGGTGACTGGGATGTTGCTGGAGATGGACCAAACAGAGGTTCTCCATCTCCTTGAGTCTCCAGATGCTCTGAAGGAGAAGGTGGCTGAGGCAATGGCAGTCCTTCAGGATTCTGTGGCAGGGGATCAGTCTGATGACATTAAGGACTTGGGGGTCATTGGAAATGACTGAATGAAGTTCACCTGTTTTTAATTGGTAAACACATTCCTTTATAGGTGCGGTGATCAGCCATATTTTAGACGTTCCAATAAGTCTGTCTTCAACGGGTTTTCTCTGAAACTACTCTTTTAGGAATTGATTTCTTTGGTTGGTAGGCTTTTGAGATGTTTTAAGAGATTTCAGACTTTTAGACGTATTCACTACTCTTTATTTAGACCATTATCTTCATTTATTGACTGGTTTTAGTATTATTTGCTTTGGGATTTTTAGTATTATTTACTTGTTTTTCTTTTGAGATGGTTTCTGCTTGTTTATGCATATTCATGCTGCTCTTTCTGCCTGCTTTAAGTTATCTTGCTTTTGTTCTAGGTTATTGGTTGGCTTGACTGCAGCATGTTTCCAAAATCCAAACCTTGCTCGAATAATGCTTTAAGTTATATACTAATATGTTATTTATAAGGTTTTGTTGGCTTGCAGTATTGATTCTATTTTAAAATTTTCATTTGTGTTGTTATCTGTTCTACTTTCAGATTTCACTACAGTGTAGAAAATGTCAAATGCTAAAAGCAAATTTAGAGTATGTGTGATCAAGAATGATACTTTGTTCTCAATAACAATCACACTTTTTATTTTTATTTTTTTTAAATAACTTTTTTGCCTTCAACCAAATATTTTGCTACTCACCCAAAAAAAAAAAAAAAAATCATTAGAAATCATCTAATGAAGAAGAAAAGTTTTTGTCCAAGTTGGACTATCTTGCTACTGATTTGGGTTGAGAATACGTCTCAGCACTCGCACTTGTATTTTGTTTATCAAATGTAGGAAATTGTCATAAATCAAGTACTTATTGCTTGAATTCAAAATTTAATTCAATAGATTCAAGCAATTACTTTTAAATTTGAAATTTACTGATTAAGGAACGTAATTACTCCTAATTACTATCAACTAGAAAACTGGTAGTGTAGCCTACCTATACCAATAAGCCCATCTATTTGTGCTAACAATAAAAGGACTTAAAATCTGCAGCAAAGTGCACTAAATCAGGGTGGATATCATATTCTACCATTTGATATTTTGAATCAGTCTCCAAAACAACATCACCTCATTTGTTCATATGATCTGCAAAGTTTTTAGACGGCAAAGTCCGAAATTGTCACCATTATCATCTTCAGTTATGTAATCCTTCCACTTTGAATTCCCTTTAGCTGTTGCTTGCTTGCTGCTGTCTCATTGGCTTCTCATCTAGGAAAACTCCTGCATCCTGTCTATAATCTTAAGAGTTGCATATTATTGTATATGATAGAAAGTATATAAGAGTATTAAATACCAATGATCTTTGGAAAGTACATAAAGAGTATTAAATAGTAATGATTTTGTGTTCACAACATAAGAAAGCATGTTCTAACGTCTCAAATACTAGCTGCTGCTTTTCATTATCGTTATCTTTCAAAAACAACCCACCCTATAACCCTAACAAATAGGAGAGTCATCATCTCCAACATGTCTCTAGACTCTCACAAAGAGAAGGTCCTTTGGACCCAAGACCAGATCATGGACCAACTGGCCCAGATTGCTTCTCAAATTAACCATGATTTCAAGCCAGCTTCCGACCCTCCCCTCATCGTAGGAGTCGCCACCGGCGCTTTTTTGTTCTCGGCCGATCTTGTCAGGAGAATCCAACTCCCCATCCCCATCTCGGTTGACTTGGTTCGACCTCAACCGTATGGCTCTGGTACTCTCACTAATGGAGCTCCAAGCATTTCCCTTGACTTGAAGCTCCATGTTTAGGGCAAACCCGTTGTTTTGGTAAACTCCCATTATCCTTTTGGGAAATCATACATGCATAACAGTTTTTGCTTTTTATAAATATATATATATATATATATATATACATATATATATATATATATATATTTGGGAGTTTCTATTTACGCTTGATTTTTTCTTTACATTTTTTTTTTCAAAATGATTCATAATTATCTTTTTCAATTCCCTTCTCATTTTTAAATTTTCATTTATAAGTTCAAAAATTTTTTGAAAGGTTTTGAATTGATATATCTAAAAATTTTTAAAATTTTTATCCCAATTCTTTTAAATTAAGTAAAAAAATTAAAGACTCACATGTATAATTTTTATCTATAATTTGTAAATCAGTTTATAATTATTTGAAATAAGTCATGCTTTTTCTTTATAATGTTTTGAAAAATTTTCAAGATATGTAATTTTTGTTTCTCAATTGATCTTTTTTTTAAATTCTAAATATAACTTACCGGATATACATATTTGGTTAACATATTTGGTAAGTTATAAAATTTATTAAATATATATATTTAAAAACTTTAAAATTAAGATAAAAAAGGTTAAATAATTTTATTTAAAGATAATTAAAAAAAAAGAATAGATGTAAAAAGAAAAAAATAAAATTGCTTTTACAATCGTTTTATTGATATTTTAAGGATAAAAAAAGGTTTTTTTATTTCATTGTCAAGATAGATAGATAGATATATATATATATATATTATTTTATGATTAGATTAAAAACTACAAAAAAAGTTTATATTTTAGAGATCATTCGTATAAAGAATTATTGATAATGAAATTAGAATTTAAATCTCACAAACAAAATATTCAAACTTTATTAATGTAAATCGCAATTAATTTACATATATATATATAATGATATTTTTATGTATTTTTTTCATTCAAAACGTAATTAATAATTATGAAAAAAATGACATAAATAGTTTGAGGACATGAAAATCATCTAAAAATTACATTTATTAAATTACTTAGATTTTGCATGTAAGAATGGTAGATATGTGAAAAGATGTTAACATTACATACACAATGTGGAAGATTATATATCTCACCTTTATTGTTTACTTAAATTGATTGATAATATTTTTAATAATAAATTTTTTTAACCGACGTAGTTCAATGAACCCTTGTGGCTTATAAATTGATTGCCTTTGCCACGGGAACGCTTGTTCTCCAAGTCAAATTCTCTCACGCCCAACTCTCCAATCTCCGGATCTTAAACCTCTCTCCCAACCTTAACCCTAAAAGAAATCGTAAGAATTCATTAATGGTGTCGGTGTATTACAAGTTCAAGAGCTCCAAAGATTTCCATTCTATTCCCATTGATGGTCCTTTCATTTCAGTTTCTGCTTTCAAAGACAAAATCTTTGCCTCCAAACGTTACGGCAACGGCAATGATTTTGATTTGTTAATCAGCGATGTTCAAACCGATCAACAATATAATGATGGCTCCATCTTAATCGCCGCAAACTCTTCTCTTTTAATTCGTCGCACTCCTGGAATACCTCAATTACCGATTGTTATTGGTGGAGAAAAACCGAAGACTGAAAAGAACCCATCATCTGTTGTGAAAGACCTGCAAGAAGAAGAAGGCTTTGATTCCCATGATTTTGGACTTGATTTTAATTCCATTCCCAAAAACTCAACTCTGAATCCAAGCAATATCCATTGTAAGGAAGAGAAAATTGATTATGGGTTTAGATTTCTACCTGTCAAAGGGTTTGGAAAAGGCCAAATTCCACCACAGGGCTACGTTTGCCATCGGTGTAAGGTGGCTGGGCATTATATTCAGCATTGCCCTACTAATGGTGATCCCAGATTTGATTTTAAAAGGGGTAATCCTACAACTGGCATTTCAAATGCTTTTGCTTCTGCTTCTGCTTCTGCTTCAACTAATTCAAGTTGTTCTGTTGGTAATAATATACCACTCGAACTTTACTGTCCATTGTGTAAGAAAGTAATGAAAGATGCTGTTTTGACAAAGTGCTGCTTTGCTAGCTTTTGTGATAAGTGTATAAGGGATCTTATTGTTTCCATGTCAGTTTGTGTATGCCAAAGAAAAATAGTGGCTGATGATATTCTGCCTAATAAGACTGTTAGAGATACTATTAGTCGAATTCTGAATCAATCTGGAGATACAAGTTCTGAAGCCAACACTGAAGAGAAAGAAATACAACAGAAGAAGGCAGATTCGGGTGAGGCAGAACAGAAGAGGAAGAGGAAGGTCTATAACATGCCAAATGACTCACAATGGAAAATCTCCCAACATGTTGGAGTAGACAGCTATACGACCCGTAATCCATACCAGGCTGGTATATGTCCTGAATTTATGTCGCCAGAGAGGAACCTTTCTATGCTTGGGATGGATGCAAATTTTGCCCAACTCCAGAAGAAATTGAGAGTTTAAATTCGTGTAAAGTTTGGCTTGTGGAGAGAGATTTGTAAAAGGCAGTAAGGACAAAGCAGTTTTTTTGAAAGAGATTTTGTAGTTGTAGTTGTTTATTTTTTTTCTGCAATGAAAAGTATTCATTTTCTATATTATTCCTTTGCAGTTTCTTTTTCAAGTGTCTATAAATTTGTTTTTCTAGAAGGGCACAGCCCTTTGTAAATATGGTTCATAGCAAACATTGTTTGGATTATAAAGGAATCAATCAATTTATTCCAAAAAAAAAAAAAAAAAAAAGGAAAGAAAACTCATTAAACCATTCAGCTAGTTCTTCGAGGGCATTATTTCATCAAATTCAGCAAATAAAAGCTCCCTGTTTATCAATTTGTTGGAAGGCTTGCTATTATTTGTCAATGAAATAGCCCCATCCTTGTTATTTCTAGATTGTTATTACAACAATTTAGACCCAATTTTATTTTACTAAAATTATCAAATTCTACTTGCCCTTGTTAGCTTCCTTGACTATCATATTTCCTTTTGGTGTTCCCAAAAGGTTATCCGGACATAGTCTCATCTACCAACATCGACATATTCATTGTCAGATCCTGCCTTATTCCATCTATTTCATTCATTATATTAGAAATTTAATTTCTAGAGGTTTGTGCTACTGGACTTTTTAATTAAGCTATATCTGAAATTCTTGTGTTTAAGGGGTTTGAGTTTTTTTAACTGTAATCAGGTAGTTATTATGTCATATGTGTAGGCTTCTGTTATAACAATGTGATTTTTTTTTTCTTTTCATTTCTTTATTTTTTTGATAATGTAACAGTGTGGCTTACAAAATTTGGGCTTTCAAATTTCTAATCCTCCTCCATTTTTTTTTTTTTTTTTTTTTGCATAAGAGTGGAATACCACTTACTAATCCTCCTCTAGCTTTTGCAGTGGTTTAAGGCGTCCTAAATTGCATCTGATGCATTTGCAAGAACACAAACAAGTGCCGAGGGACTTCAAAAGTTTGATGTTTTTTTTTTTTTTTTTTTTTTTTTAACGTCGCATTATGAAGATATTTAATAAATTAGACCTATTCAAAAATCGAATTATCATTTTGAAAGTTCATCCAATATTTAAGAAAGCTTGGAAAAAATATTAAGAGGATTGTGCAAAAATATGGGATCCATTATAAAAAGAGTAGGTCTTGGCTCCAACATTCAAAGCTCCAACCTAGTTCAATCCTACAATTATATAATCTTTATTATTTTTACATGGGTAAGGATCTATTTATATCATTATAAGTTTTGCATTTTTTTTTTTAACTTTTGAATCAAAATTAAATCAAATTAATACTTTTAATCTTAGCCACTTTTAATCCAAAAGTTAAAAAAAATATAAATCTTACGGGGATCCTTTCTCTTTTTATATTTACATATTATATAATATTACAATATAAATATTAAAAAATATGTTAAATTATTATGTTTTAAAACTTAATAGAAAACAAAAGTACTAAAACTTAAATTAAAAAAATCATTTTTTTATTTTTTTATTTAAAAAAATTATCTAAACAGGGTTAAGTTGTACCATTAACTAATGGTTAGGCTTTAAACATAATTTGAGATGCAAATTATCTGATTGAATTTAAGCAAATACATAAAATGTAGGTATCATGTCTAAATTTGATCCAAATCTAATCCAACTCATAACCATCCCCACTAAAAAATATAATGAAAATTTTAGGGTTAAATATAAAAATGGCTTTAGTATTATACACTTTCTATCAATTTGATACTTGAACAAAATAAAATTTATATTAAGATATCAAAGCTTTCGTTTCGTCGAATATTTTGATACTTTAAATTAATATTGTTAATCAAATTACTAACATGATATTAATACTTAATAAAATTATGATATATATAGCATAAATATCCAGTTATTACCACATCAGCATTTAAATAAAAAACTTAAAATATTTTTTAAATATTTTTAATTCAAAATTTAAAAAAGAAAGAAAAAGAATCGAGAAGAAAGAAAGGAGAAAAGAAGAAGGTGGAGAAGAGAAAGGGTGAAAGAGGAATGTAAGAACAATGTCATTCGCCAGCTTAAGGTCAGTCTGCCTTGAACTTGGTGGATCGGCTTCGACCCAGCTCGTTTGATCTAGATTGATGCTGATTCACCAAGTCCGAGACAGACCAACCCCGATCCGACTCTAAGCTAGTCGGTGTTTTCAGCTTTTTTTAAGATTGAAATAAAAATAAAAAAAATCAAAAAATCAATCTGAATTTTAGAATTCGATCGATTTAATTCGGATTTTAAATTATTTGATTTAAATTTAAATAAATGATGTCATCAAAATTACATTCATTTAGATCGATTTATTTTGATTAAATTTAAAAAAACTCAAATCAATCTAAATTAAAAAAAAATCTCAAAAAATTAAATATTAAATTATTTGATATATAAAACTTAAATTCAAATATATCATTCAATTCTAAATGCTTTAAACTCACTACCCAACTCACTTACACTCCATTATCCAATACCCACTTGCTATCTTTTTAAAATTAAAAAAATAACAACTTATTTTTGACATTTTTACTTTTTAATTTGTCGACATTGCACTCTTTGACTTTAAAATTTTAGAACCCTGACAGGCTAACATTTTTCATCTTCTTTTCCTCTTTCAATATGAACATAAAAACAAAGCAGTCACTGTCGCCGATGCTAGCCTTACCACCACATGACGTCGCCAACCACCTTATGCTAGTGTCGATTTTGAAAGCCGAAACCACCAAATTATTCTTCGTTTTCTTCCTCTACTTCTTTTATGGTGTAGATTTTTCAAAAAAAAAAAAAAAACGAAAAACAAAAACCCCATTAACAAGCTAGATCTAGATTTCAACGTCAAGAATTTTCCCACCTATTCCTCTGGTTGCTAACAACCCAAAAGCTATCCAGAACTCCTTTTCTTCTCTTTTAACTAAACTCCGATTCAAAAGTCCAAACATTTTCCTCAAATATCCCTCGAATGAGAACCAAAATGTCATTGCCTAACTTTTTTTACTTGTTGCAAATGAATTTGTTATGTTGACTTTCGAAATTATATTCGGTATTTGTTGTGATTTCTTTTGTTAGGTTCTTGTTTCAGAGCTTTAGATTTAAGTTCTTTTATGAGGTTGTGTAATTGATGAATAGTTTGGGTAAAATAGCTTAAATTTAAAAATTTGAATAATTGATTCGAATCAAATCAAATATATGTAGATTGATTTTATTCAGATATTTTATTTATGTAAATTGGATATAAATTAAACAATAAAAAATTTGTATAAGTCGGATTAGATAAAAAAAATTGAAAATTTAAATCGATTTGATTCGATATCATCTTTATCCTTTTTTTTTTTCTTTTATCTCTCATTTTTTTTGTCCTTTTGCTTTCTTTCTCCTTAATTCTTTCTTTATTTCTTAAGTTTATTTGTTTTTTTAAATTAATTTTTTTATTTTTAAATTTTTACTAAAATAACAATAATTGACATAATGATAATTAGATATTTATAACACATGATATGATTTTATTAAATATTTATATTATATCTATTACTTAATTGACGATAATAATATGAAGTACTACAATACTTGATATGAATGTTAAAATACTTACGATTTTATTTTTATATTAAACTGATAGAACATATTTAGTACATGGGTCATTTTAGATATTAACCCAAAGTTTTATCATTGTTAATTTATATAGTATACCCCACGTTCAGCTTTAAGCATCCCAAAAAAATATAGGAGTGAAGTAGCTCCAAACCCATTTTGTAATCAACTTGTCTTCCTGTATGGGCTTAAAGCTTGATTAATTTGGACTTCCTCATCCTTCAAATTCTTACACCAACCGAAAAGGATAAACCAACATCATCATCGTGCCGCTGTTTGTTATGCTTCTCAAAAGCTAATGCTTTAAACAAATCTGAATTCCTGATAAAACCCCAAAAATTAAAGCAAAACCCACAGAAACCAATTGCCCAGAGGACGTGATGCAGAAAGCTATGATGGGAGGAACATCAAGAACTCTCCTTTCTATCTCTTTTCTCTCTTCAACCAAACATTTCTGTCACTACCCATTTCTCAAACTACCTAAGCCCTCTAGGGTTTTTCCAGGGTTTAAGCCTTTTTGCACTGCTACAACCCCAATCCCAATCCCCGCCTCCATTGAACCTGACGAGTTGAAACACTCCATGCTACTTGAAAGGCTTAGAATGAGACACCTTAAAGAGTCCACTAAAACCCCACCACCCTCTAGACCTCGAGAAAAGCTGGCTGCTTCTGATAAAGAGAGCGAGGCTTCTGATAAGGGGAAGAGGAAGAAAAAGGGCATGGTTGATAGTTTTGAGGAGTTGGGTCTCAGTGAAGAAGTGATGGGTGCTGTTCGAGAGATGGGCATTAAAGTTCCTACCGAGATTCAGTGTATTGGGATTCCTTCTGTTTTGGAAGAGAAAAGTGTGGTTTTAGGTTCTCATACTGGCTCTGGCAAGACTCTTGCTTACATGTTGCCACTTGTTCAGGTCTCCTTTTCTCTTCTTTTTATTTTTGGTCGATTATTGTTTTCTGGAATAAATTTTGGATTTTTTTTAACAGAGGTTTTCTGGTTCCTTGTGCCTTTTCTGTTCAATTGCTTTGATTTCATTCCTTTTTTCTTTAATTATTGTGTGTGTTGATTGAAAGTTTCATTTTTCTGATATTTTCCCCCTTTTGATGATTGGTTGATTGGATTAGGTTTAGGATTTTTATCTCATTATGCCTTGTGGATGAATTGAAACTTTGATGTGGTTTTTGTTTTTGGTATCTTTATTGAGTTTGGGCCACTAAGTATTCATTTGTATCCACAGCACTGGAATTGTGATTTTGGTTACTGAGCTGTCTCTGTCTTACTTCTATCTGTTCAAATTTATCGTTTTTTGGGGTAGATTGGAAATTTTCAACTTATGACCTGTAAAGATTGATTTTTCTTATAGTTTCTTACATGCTCAGAAGCACTGAAACAAATATAATGTGGATTATGTTGGTACTGGAAATTCTTAGAATTTAAAGGCATTATGTGCTTGTCTTGCAGTTGCTGAGGCGGGATGAGGCAATGCTAGGAATGCTAACAAAACCCAGGCGTCCTCGAGCAGTTGTTCTATGCCCCACTAGAGAGCTATCTGAGCAGGTTTGATTACTTCCTCTTTTATTTGGACCTCAGAATTTAGTCAATCTGTATAGACTTTGACTTTATAGATTAACATTAGTGGAATTTTTAGGTTTTTCGTGTGGCAAAGTCTATCAGCCATCATGCAAGATTTAGGTCTACTATGGTCAGTGGTGGAGGCCGGTTGAGACCACAAGAGGATTCTTTGAATAACCCAATTGACATGGTAGTCGGGACCCCTGGCAGGGTTCTTCAACATATTGAAGACGGCAACATGGTTTATGGTGACATCAAATACTTGGTAAGTGTGCTAACATATACATTTGAATTTACTTATTTTAAAGAGCAATGTCCAGTGTCCTTCTACACTGAATAAGCACATTTTCTCCTTGGTGTCTGGAAGCTTGTGAAGAACTTTTATGATCTATGCACTTGTTGATGTTTCTAATTTTTTTGTAGGTTTTGGATGAGGCAGACACCATGTTTGACCGTGGCTTTGGTCCTGACATTCGCAAATTTCTTGGTCCGTTGAAAAATCGTGCACTAAAACCCAATGGTCAAGGATTTCAAACAGTTTTAGTGACTGCAACAATGACAAAGGTTTGCTGGCTCATCTTACTCTTGTGCTGGACATTCACGTTATACCATGTTCTCCTGTTAAAATTAAACTTTTGTTTTTTCTCACTAAATTTCATCATATACCTTTATATGATTTACGGTTAGTCCGTTTACTTTTACTGGGATCTAGAGATTGGGTGATATTCGGATGTTGAACAAAGAAGAAATTCCTTATTTATTACTTGGGTAATTTATTAGAGATGTGATTTTTATGATTCCTGTCTATTCAGCATATTAGATATTAGAGATAGGTAAATCTGCAATATTGCTTCTTGACATTTAGCAACCTGTATCGAATTCAATGTCAGTGCCATATATTGAAGGCAGATTACTAGTAAGAACATTTCCAGAGATCTGGATCTGGAACCTTTGACTTGATTATGTTTTGGGTGGTTTAAAAAGGGATATGCCAAAGATCTATCTACAGGCTGTTAAATAATAAAATTTAAGGGTTTACTTGTCATCTTTCTACTTTCTTATGAACATTTGAGAGAAAATTTAGGTGTATAGTTACTTCTCAGGTATTTATGTCCATAGTGACTTGCTTTTTTAGCAGTTTGCTTTGGTTTAATGAGAATTTCGGATATTAATATCTGTGAGATTTTTCAGGCTGTGCAGAAACTGATTGATGAGGAATTTCAAGGAATAGAACATCTTCGAACATCAACACTGCACAAGAAAATAGCATCTGCTCGGCATGATTTCATCAAACTTTCAGGTTCTGAAAACAAGCTTGAAGCATTACTGCAGGTCTACTTCTGTGGTTCTTTCTCATTCACTTTTAGTTTGTCATTTTTGAGGAATAAAAATAGTAGTCTTGTCATCAATGTTTCAAAATTTCATGTTGAAAATCTCAAGAAGAGTATATTATAGTATTATTTAAAATAAGAGGACTATATTATAGCACTTTCAAAAATCTATATTTAATACACATATGAAACTATTTCACATAAGGCTTCTCCTAGGTAATATGGTGCATCCAGTAGAATTTCAATTTTTCTTTTTTAAGTGATGATCCCTAAAGAAAATGGAACAGTTCCTGGTCAATTCTTTTAACAAATTTACAGTTTTGTTTCAACAAAACTATTTTAATTTTATCCTAGTTTAATGTAGTTTTGACATTAAGGAGGATTCGTCTAGGTTATCGACTAAAGTAAACTCCTTTAATAGGAGTGTCAAGTGGTGTTATATCCCACATCAGTTATGTTTGTAGTTTGTTGTGGCCTTAGATTCAAGTAGGGGCTTTCCAATATTGCAGTTGGTTTTAAGTTGGACATCCAAGCATTGGTTTTGTCAATCACATGGTAGCTTGTTTTACTAGTTTTCACCTACATGTTAGCCGTGTTAAATAGTGCTATCTTATATTATTTAGGTTTATACATTTTAGTGGCCTTACATTTGCTTGGACCTCTTGACCTATTGCCTATTGATTTTAGATTGGATGACAGTGCTTTGGGAAAAGGATCTTCATCGTAGAAGGGGTAAAGTGTAATTTTCCGTAACATAATGTGATGTAGATAGTTTAGACAAGATTTGGGTAGAAGAGGAAAATGCCACTGCGGAGGATTTGTTCTCTGAGATTGCCAGACATCTAACTGTAATACCCTAGGCTTTTGAAATCTGTTACCTAGAATTTGCTTCCTGACTCTAGCTGTCTGCCATTTGTTTTTATTCTAAATCTTTGGCCAACCTATACATTCTGGTTGTTAAAATGTATGAGGGCTTCTTTTTCTTTCCTTGGCCAGGATCTTGGGAAATGATGTTAGCAAGTCAGCTGCATGTTCTCTGTAAATTAGTTTGATTAAGCATTTTTACAAAATTAGTGAAGTATTTTCTTCAGCAAACATTAAATTTATAAGGAAAATTTGAGATGTCAAAATGATTTAAGTTTAACAATTAAATTGTTCTAGTTCTGTAACACGAGCATTCTAAGTACAGTAACTTGCATAAGTTTAATTGTGATGCCATGACAGGTTCTTGAGCCAAGTTTAGCTAAGGGGAACAGGGTGATGGTGTTCTGTAATACATTAAACTCTAGCCGTGCTGTGGACCATTTCCTTGGCGAAAATCAGATCTTGACTGTTAATTACCATGGTGAGGTGCCCGCAGAACAAAGGTGAGATTTTACAAGATGTACATAGTAGATCTAATAAACCTAAGCATTTATGTTTGTCCAAAGTAAATAATCTATCTGTTTTTCTTGTAAAAACAGGGTTGAAAACCTGAATAAGTTCAAGAGTGATGATGGGGACTGTCCCACACTGGTCTGCACAGACTTGGCTGCTAGGGGACTGGACTTGGATGTTGATCATGTTATCATGTTTGATTTCCCCTTAAACTCTGTAAGCCTGATATCTTTGGTCAAATTGTCAAAGTATTATCTTGCTGTTTTTTGTAACCTGAACTCCTTTGCTTCTAATCATCCTTTCTAATTCTCTTTGGTCTAACTTTTCCTTGGCATTGTAGATCGACTACCTTCATCGCACTGGGAGAACGGCACGTATGGGTGCAAAAGGTCAGTGACCATTTCATTTCAAGTCTATGCATCACTTGTTTTATTTTCTATTCACTTAAATAAAGAAATTGATATTTTTCCTTTATTTTTTATAAAGAATGCACCAGGATGTGGGTTCCAAATGCTGCACATTGAAATCCTTAATCATATATGCTCTATCAACTTCATAAATCTTAATATTCTTCTTTCAACCAAAAGGCAAGCTGTACTATGTGGAAATTTGCCGAAGAAATTTTTGGTTATATAATATTCCCGAACAAACATTGTATTGTTATCAATAGATTGGTTCCACTTTCCTCTTGAAGATCTATTTGTTCCTTGACCTCATCCCTAAAAAAAAAAAAGAAAAAAGTTAAGGAAAAACCAACTTGTAAATCACTTCTGTTAGTGCATCTTTAAGTGAAAAAAACTAATCAGTTTGGCAACATAAATCCTACCATGACATTTTTGCATCTAATATCATATCTTTTTTGTCTCCACTTAGATGCAAAGGGCATTTTTTTCAGGCTTAGAAATTGTTTAAGATTTGTGTCAATTTTGATTTTTGGATTTTGAAGTGTAGAGGACTATATTTCTTGGTAAATTAAATCGCAAAATCTTCTTTCCAGGGAAAGTAACAAGTTTGGCGGCTAAAAAGGACTTACTGTTGGCGGAAAGGATCCAGGAGGCAATAAGAAAGAATGAGAGTTTGGAATCTGTTACAGCTGATAATGTTCGAAGGGATATATCAAGGGCTAGGATAACTGAGCAGAAGGGGAAGACTGCTAAACTGTTCAAGGTGTCAAATCAGAAAAACAAGATTAAAGCTGTCTCTGCCCACACATCAGCGAAAAAACCCTCAATTGCAAAATCAGTAAAATCACCAACTCCAGCAAAATCTTCACCAAAAATAGGCAAGGTCACCAAAAATTTGAAGACTGCAAAAGCTTCTTCAGTAGGAAAGAAAAACAGGCCCACTGGTAGTTCTACAGCCAGGAAACTGCGTGTTGTTGGGTTTAGGGGGCGAGCTTCCTCAAGTAAGAGAGAATTATTTCGGCCTAGTTGATTGTGTTCAAATTTCTGGATTTTGCAAATGGCTTTTAACATTTAAGCATCATTAATGAGAAAAAAAAAAAGATTTCCCTTATATGTAGGTCTCTCTCATATTACTGGCTAGAGCTGGTTGTAATGCATCTAGATTGTCTTTCCACTATGCACCCTTCAAGGGCTAGCTGAGGATGCCATATCGCCTTGTGGCAAGTGGGAGTTATATTAGCTTGCTGTGCAGAAAATTCATACATGGGGATGGAGATGTAATCATTTTTTGGTTTGTCCTGATATAGTTACATCTAAAGAGAACAAACGTTGTAAAGCTAGCTTGGAAATAAGACCAAAACTTTAATGTTCAATCTTCATAAGCCTCAACTACTAGTTACTTCCAGGTGAGGAGTTTTGGAAGGGGTAACAATGATGCCTTCAGAATCATATATTATGAGCCCAGAAAAATCTGGTGGCTGACATTTCTCTCCCATGAGAATGTTCTTCTGCCAAACTGGTTGTTCACGGGAGAACATGAACGCTTGCGTCAATATCTCCAGGTTGATAATCATTGACTGACGCTGTCATGACTACATGGTTTATTTCAATGGCACGATCTTCATCTAAAAATTCATGGCAAGCTCCCCATTGACGACGCAGTTTGCGCGAGTGGGAAGCGCACTTGATCAACGCAAAAGCGCATAGAAGATGTATAACTGCTGCCTGCGAGGCCAGATTGAGACGAGTTAAGTGGTGGTGCTGGTGTGAAGATAAATTGGCGAGCCGTGAGCAGTGGGTGAAGAAATTTATAGGCTTCTGGGTTTCGGTGAACATTGACCTTCACTGGTTTTCAGCATGCAATGCAAAACTTGATTAGTTTGCATTTTTGCTTTCAACCTGAATCGACTTGGTGGTTTGGTTTTAGGTAACCGACTTCTCTCGATAATAGTTGAACCTATCCCAGACGGAGTGGCATTGAGAACCAAGCGAGGGTGGTCAATGCTCGTAAGCACAAAAGTTTCTGCGTCTGACCACAAGTTATCAATTTTGTTTTTATACAAATTACATTCCTTCTTTTTTAACTATTTTTTCCTGTTCAATTACTCTTTCTCATGTCATGAGGCTGTGGCTTATGACAAATAAAAAGATTATAAAATTGTTAGTAAAATACATAGGATTTATAAGATTTAAAATCGTTGGAGTATTTTGAAATTTAATGTAATACCATTTACCCTGATCTTAACGTAAGAAAACCTCCTAATTTTCTAATAAAAAAAATTTACTAAACAAAATTGTAGAGTCCAAACCCTCGTTTCGTTCTCCCTAACCCTAACATTTTAACACTCAAATAAAGAGCTTTTCCATTTAAAAATTAAAATAATTGTTCCTCACCTTTGAAAACAGTCTTCTTTCTTCTTCTTCACCTCTGTTGAATTAAAATTGAAAAAATTTTCCAGAAATGCCTAATCGTTCACAAATTTCCCTATACAAATTCCTTTTGAGACATCCTTTTCAATCATTTCCACAGACCACATCGACATTTCCCATTAACTCGCTTTTACCTTTTCCAGCTCAACTCGTTGCCAACTCAGTCCCATCACCGAAACCTACTTTTTCCCACTCAAAACCCTACCTTTTTCTCTACCCAATCTCCCAAACCTCACAAACTCAACACCCAATTCACCAAAACCTGAGGAAGTACAGTACTGAGTCAGCATCTGTGTTGGATGTGAACAAGGAGGTTGACTCGATCAACCTCAAGTTTGCAGAGGCAAGAGAAGAGATAGAGATGGCAATGGAGTCTAAAGAGACTGTTTATTTCAACGAAGAAGCAGAATGTGCTCGTGCTGCTGTTAAAGAGGTTTTGGACATGTTTGAAGGGCTTTTGGGGAAGCTACCCGAATCCGAAAAGGCGGCTTTGCAACGTTCAATGGGACTCAAGATTGAGCAATTGAAGGCTGAGCTTCAACAGTTGGATGATTGATGAGGTTGGTTCAGATGGGTTTACCTCAAAATCTTTTTCTTGCTTTGTTTTGCTTCATCTGTCATACTTGATAGAGCTGAGGGATTAGTGATTTTGGCTCACATTTAATTGGGTTGAAAAAGATATGATTTTTTAATAACGGGTTAGTGTGTTTTACGTTCTATAATTATGATTTTGATGGTGATGATTAAGGAAAGTAGTATTTAGAGAGAACAATTTAGAATTTTTATAAACTTGTATTATCTATAATTAGATGATAATAACACCCTTACTGTTTATCTGATGTTTTTGTTGCTATTGACGGCTTCTTTGGCAGTAGTGCTCAAGATAGCCAGATTCTTGATTTTGTTACTTCCAAGAAGTATCAACAAATTTAGAAATAGTTTAAAGTAAAATAATATCAATTGACAATATGAATGCAGAAAAATTGGATTGTTAAACACTGAGGTAAAATCCACGGGAAATTTGGAAAAAGTTGGTGAATTATCTGGAGAGCAAATGCTGATACACCTGGTTCAGGTGGGCAAGTTTCTCTTTTAAAACTGGACTATTCTCATTGCTTTATCCACTTTTGGTTCCATTGTTCAATGTTTGAAGGATAATATAGTCCCTGGTCCAACAGGATGCATCTCTCCGTCTAATAAATTTTCTGGCACTTAATCATAGCAAGCCTGTTCAAACCACAATCCTGCATTACTTAAAGTGACATCAAATGTTGCAATTAGTTTAAATTGTTAATAGAGAACTAATAGTTAGGCAGCTAAGTAGGCAGGGGGCATTCCAGAGCTGCCATACACCTTAAGAAACTCTAAAATCACAAACTATGATTTACTTAACCAGCCATGCTTTGTACACTAGCAAAAGCTGCCATACACCTTAAGAAACTCTAAAATCATTAAGCGGCTTGTTATCCATGTTGGAGATGTTAGTGCTAACATGTTTAGCTGTCTTTTCCTGCAATATCAGTAGATATCTTGGCTCGATGAACTAGTTCAGAGCTTCAGGTGCACAATTGGTGAATTTGTTATCTTCAAAAGTAATATTTGAGTGATGAAATCAAACACTATTTTATGTTGTTGAAAATTAGCCATTTTTTTTATAGCTCTCCTCAAGTTCAATGTTGGAGCATCAGAATTGTGTTGCTCCTTATTAATGGTCCAATTTCATCATTTTTTATTTTTATTTGTTCAATCAATATATATATCATGTATGTGTAGATTTGTGGAAAGGGGACTAAGCATCAGTTTTGTGCATAACATATCTTGATATGTTAGGTAAGGATATCCTTTTTGATGGATAACATGATAATGGTGTTTGAAGAAAGAACTCAAGGAGGAAGAACTCTGATTTTTTTTTTTTTCAGAAAAAGAAAAAGAAGAAAAAGGTATTTGAAGAAAGAAAACCATATTGTCAATAACAGTTGAATAATTTGGTTTTGAGGTTATGACCCTTTTTTCTGAAGTTTGTTGTACTTTTAAAGCCATTTTTAATAAAAGCAAATGACTCTATGCTTTTAATGATTTTTAAACTTGAAAGTATGCTATACAAATATGTTTAACAGATACAAAGTTGACTTCTTTCTCTTTCGTATATCTTATCTTGAGTTATTTGATTTTATTTGCAAGAACATACATTCTTTGAATCCTTGCTAAACATAGTTTAATATTCATATATTCTGAACTGTCAGGAAGACCTTCATTACTCTGGGGTTTTATACTATCAAGTAGCCATCTACCTTTATTTTAAGGTGCTTCAGAAAAAGGACCTTTGCTTTTTCTTTGCCCTAGTTTCTGAACATTCAAGTTTAATCATACTTTAATACATACTTCAAATATTCTATGGTAAAAGAATTTGTGCCGGATGTTGAAATGTCTGAAGAATCTTCCTTTTTGCTCAATTAATGATTTTTCTGCTTGCTGTTTGTACCCAAGTATCATGCAGCTTTGACTCTTCATTTTCCATGAAGTACTGGAGTCTGACACATATCTGAAATGCATGGTGTGGAGGTCACCGTCAGGAAAACCATAGGAGGAATTGAACGTACCTGTGTCCGACTCTTACCTGTATCTGACACTAAAGTCCAAGTCCAAGTAACATAGCCTGTGCATTCTATGCTCCTCTCTTCTATTTTTCTGTAAACCAGAAAATTGATACGTTTTCTGATGGTTTGAGAAATAAATTGCTGTTGTCTGTAAACAAATCTGTTGTTATGAGGACATTTCCTTAATGTGAGTGAAGCTTTGCTTATGAACTACTTTGAATACTTGCTCATGTGTCAATATAATCACTTGGAATTTTTAGTTCTGGTATAGGTTCTTGGAATAGAAGCTAATGTATGTTAAATTGCCCTAATATAGCAACATCCAAGCTGGCACTTGTAACTTGTTGATGTCTTGTTGAGAAGTTTCAAAACTAGAGCCCTTGATAGCCACTGGTATTACCGTGTAGAAGTATATAATTTTTTTACCTTCAATCATTAGTTGGAACTTGTGTTATAAAAGGTTTCTGATACCTTAAAACATCACTGAGAGTTTGTGTAATGGAAAGGTTTACCGGGGACTTCAGATTTAGACTCTCCTCTTGCTCTCACTTCAATGATTCTGTCAGTAGAGTGGAGTTAGGTGAAAAATGACCTGTATTAAACTTTGTAACGCTTTTTGTTAGCAATATTTTTAAATCTGTTTAATAAACAATGGTTAAACTTGGGTGGCAGGAGGAGATTATGGAATGGAAGCGTATTGTCAAGGCAGCAATCTATTTTTGTTGTAGAATTTGAAAATCCAGGATTTTGAGCTTGCCCTGTTGTTGCATATGCTATACCACAACGATTTCTTCAATGAATTAATTCAATTCACCTGTGGAATTTTGATCAATCACTCTGAGGCTAACCGGTGCTTTGTAATAGAAACAATTCCATGTTTAAAAATTTTCACTTTCAGCCGTATTAGAAGCTATTTTGAGGAATCATACTGGCTTTAAGGACATATCTTTCATTCGGAAAGATGATCTGAGACAATAACTAGAAAGGGAGGGTCCAGGGGAAGAAAGAGGAGACTGGTGAGTCCTCTTGGTGATCCCCTGGTACCTTCAACGCAGGATTTGTTGTCACTTCATACAAGTTTATGGTATAGATTTCTTAGTTGACCAGAGATAGTGTACTAGTCTATTTGGACTTCACTCTGAAACCCGTCTCTCATCGTTCTACCATCGAATTACTCTGCGACACGATTCTCCGACTGTTTTTATTCATGGGTGCTACATCTGTCTACCATGTCTTGTACCTTACAGCTACTTTGCTGATGTTGCATCTCATCTGTTTTACTCGGCTTTTCCAAGTGTTATCCGGGTAGAATTCAGCATTGACTAAAAAACCAAGTAGCACATGTTATAACTCCCAACTGTTAGTAAGCCAGTTACAATAGTAAATGTCATTCTTGCGTTGTCAACATGCATTTGCTTTTATTGTTCTCTGGTTGTCTTTCTTTTGGTTGATATTAGAAATTAAGTATCATAGAGGCTTGATTTGGATCTTTTACAAACTCATGAAAATGATCTTGGTTTATGTTGAGGAGTGATTAATATTCAGCATCTCGTTGATAAAATGTACTAGGCTCTGTAGCTGGACATGCATTGCAATTGTTTCTGTTTCTGCCAAACAGCATAAATATCTAAAGCTCTCTTCAGCTGCCAATAAATTTATTTTATCTTTCACAATTGTGGATGCTTTTCACGATCATGGAATGTAAAAAATGATGTTTTGCCGACGTATCCTGTAGACTTATCTAAACACGCACATCGAAACAACTATGTGGGTGATTTCAAGCCGAAAACCATAATAGACAATAAAGCGTTTGATTGCTGAGAGAACGTGGGAAACGAGATTGCTTTAAGCCTTTTCCATTACCAAATGTTGGTTCCTCCTATTTGTAGTAAAATGCGAAATGTTGTTCCAAAACCATGTTGGTCTGCTGATAAGTATATTATCAGAATCGGGTTTAAAAAGAAAGAAGTGGGGGATGAAAGTCCATGAGGGGAAACACTGGAAAGAGGGTCGTCTGGCTTTCATGAACAACTTGGGTTGATAAAAAGAAAAAGCTGCATGTTACTAACATGGATGTCCTGGGTACACATATCCAGTTTAAAAGATGATGCCTTTGGTCATTTTGCTTGAGGATGTCCTTAAGTGAACCCCACGGCAATTAGGGCAACTCGGCTAGTAGCTGCATTGCACGTTTTGATCCTTGTATCGAAAGAGAAAACCCGACATTGTCTTTAACAAGAAATTGACTGAACAAGACTGGAAAAAGACACTGGTTTGAAGAGATTTTGAAGGAGAGGTTTTTTGACAACAGGCCACGGTTTCTCATGTGGTAGGGACCGAACCAACATTGAAAGGCACCAAAACCAGGATGAATTTCCTCACCTTCTTCCATGATCCATCTCTTGTTTGGACTTTTATGGAAAATGTCATCAAATCTCAATTGACCTCTACACAAAGAAACAGAAAAAAAAAAAAAAAAAGAAGCTTGTTGAACTCATCATAGATGCTTACATATTGTATCGTCAGTGTCAGGCTTCTTCTAGACAGCACTTGAACTGTTGAACTGCTTTGTTTTTTTATTAAAAAGGGAATGCATAGAGAAAAGGAAGAGCATGCTTGTGAGGATGGTTATAATGAGCTGATTATTAGTATCTTATTAGCAGATCTTTCTTTTTTGACCAAAAGCACTAAAAATTTAAAAAGATTGATAGACCAAAGTGAAGACCAAGATTACAAGGAAGGAGACAAATGTATTGTCTGCTTAAGAATGTGACATAGAGGGAGGAAGCATGGCCTATTTCTGCCTGTCTGCTTTTCTGCTGCATCATTGGGCCTAATTCCAATATCTGCATGGAGATGGAGGGATTGCTTTCTGATTCTTTCTTCTAGCCTCTTTAATATTAAAGGCTATTCATAACTACATCACTTGCCCCACGTTTTCAGGTCTATACTCTTTTTTTTTTTTTTTTTGTCAGGAAAGGGATATTTAAACCCTATTCTTCGAACCATTGAATTAAATGCTCAGTGCATTTTCCAGGTGAAGGGTTGTTCAAACGTGGATGCTTATTTTCTTTTCATTTCAAACACTTTTAGACAAATCCATATCTCCACATTATCTCACAAGATTTAGGTATGACTTGAATCTAAGAGATTGGGATTTGATGAACTTGAGATTTGCATAGTTATGCTTCAATATTCTTACATTTTTCTTGTAAACTTGTCCTGATACTGTGCTAATACTGTTAAATATAGCAATAACAAAACTGAAAGTAAATTTTCCTTGAATCAGACACTGATGGTACAGAGTTTAAAATCTTTTACATTTCTCTTGTTATAATTTTCTTTTATATTCAAATACTG